GTGCCAACAATGAGTCAAAGCCAAGTCGTGCTCTTTTTCATATACATTTTGCCTTTTCTTTGATATACTTATTATAAGAGCAGCATGGTCCATTTCTAGTAAATGTTTATTCACACACAGATCAAAATATTAATTATATCTCCTCTAACATTTAGCAGATAAGATGATAAACTAATTTTAGTTAAAGTGATTGTATTTTACTGTTGCTTTATCCAACATGGACATTCACTTTCAGGTCAAAGATACAGATAAAGAGCTCAGGCAGCGGACTGTCTGTTTTAAACATGTCCTGTGTTTATTTACACCAGTTTCCACTGAATTTTGAATAATTAAAATGCTCCGTGGTTTATCTGCGCTTCAGTTAATTGGCCACACAGTTTTGATGTGAATTTCATTAGTGGAAGAAAGCAGGTTTTTGTGTGTGGCAGAGGGGGGTGGGTGTTAGTGTATTTCTGCTTTACAAATTAAAAGGAGCTAGCAAAGTGCCACCAGCATGTTTTAACCCAATTTCAGTATACAAATACACCAAAATAAACAGGATTCAGTAAGTAATCTGAGTTTCTTCTCGTTCAAGCATATGCAGGTGTACTAAAGTGGAATAACACTTCCAGACACACCTCTCCAGACAAAACAACAGTTTAATGGGAGCTGTTTCTGCAGTTTAACTCTGCAGCCTGCTAAACAGAACAATGTTCCACTAACAACCATTTATTTGACCTTAAGAGCCGGGTGCCGATATAAGAGGTTGCTGCACCTGTACACAAAGCTCGCCTGAAGACGACAGAGTCTTGCTGTCTGACAAGGACCATCCATAAACAAATAGTTGTAAAGCTCTTCCCTCAAAGTGAGAACTAAATCCGGCTTTGATCACTGAGAACAACAGAAGGTGGTGCCTGTATAAATGTATCTGTCGATTTCTAAGTCACAGAGGTGGTAATGCAGGCTGGGGCAGAGAAAAAGTGTGTCTGGGCTGACCTTGTGTGGGAGGACCCTGTTAGATGTGTGGGCTTTGTATGATTCCAGGGCTGGAGGCCTTCTCTTCACCATCACGTATCAGTAGCCCCCTTTTAAACAGAAATCCAGCTATATTCTTATTAAGAAATCCATTATCATGCTCTGTGACTACCTCTACTGCTGGATTAATGCCAGAACACACCCCAACCTCCAGTGCCAACTCCATGTGTGTACAGTTCATACTGAATGACACTATCTCTGCACTGATTAGGTTGTATTACTGCTGAAGACCTGTTGTTTTGTGATGACGGGGAATTGTTAGCGAAGCCTTGAATATCAGAACTGAAGGAATATTTGAGTGAAAACCTTTTTACAGGAAAAAAAAGTCTACTTCAGTGTCCTAAAGACACACTTACATAGTCACAGTCATTTAGACAATGCTGTTCAGTCATTAACCGTGCTAAGGTCAAATTAATAAAAATAAAATGATAAACAAATAACACCTTTGACAGATGACTGAAAAACTGCATCCCACAAATCACAATGATTCCTTCTTCTCATTATCACTGATTGTTACCATAGGAAACAGTACTCTTTCCTATGGTGATAGCTTGATCATACAGGGTGACTATTATTTTAAGTTTAAAATAAGGAAGGTTTTTATTTTTGTAAAACCATTTTACTCACATTACGCTGCCCTCAGAGGACAAATTAAGACCGATTAAGAGTGATGCACTCTGACTCTGGCCTTCTGGGAAATAAAAGATTAAGCTAAATATCACTGGGTTGGGATAAGACGCTGAGTACAGCGGGGGGAGATGTATTGGACATGTCCACGCATCCATCAAGGTTCAGTCCAGCCTCTCACCATGACGATCGAGCCACCTCACTATCATTAATATTCCAGTATGCAGAGTCCCGCTCTGAGCCCGCAGCTCTACTCTATCATATCCAGCAGCAACAGGAGTGTGAGTGTGTGTGTGTGTGTGTGTGTGTGTGTGTGTGTGTGTGTGTGTGTGCGCGCGTGTGTGTGTGTGCGCGTGTGTGTGTGTGAGTGTGATAGCTACAGCCTCTCTAGTGAAATAGGGCTCTCTGGGGGCTTGTGCCTCAACTCTACAGCCTTTGTGGGCTCCCATTACTTCTGACAGATAGAGATCACTAAACTGCTGAACAAACACCCCATTCAGTCATTTGCATACATTACAGTAATGGAACGAGAAAAATGTATCAATAAAACCAAATAAAGTGTTTCTACTAAGCTCTGCTCCTCTTTCTTTCCCTCTTGAATCCTTCCTTCCTTCTTTTTTTTACTCTGTGCTTCTTTTATTCAATATTTCTTCACTTTTCTTTGCCCATTTATTTCAGTATATCCTAACTGCTATGTGTTGTATTTCTTCTAATACTACATTTATCATATTGGACCGATTCCCTCTGAAAACCTATGCACATGAGATGACCACTAAAGACGACAGGTTATTAAAAAACTATATGCTGCAAAAATGTATCCCTTGAATGGATAAAACCTGAAATGTCTGAAGCCCGAGCAGATTAGGAACACTAATCATGCATGGTGAAAAACAACAAAACATAATTTATTGTTGAAGTTTTAATTAAAACTGGGCTGCTCTGGGGCACATATTACATTTAAAATACCTTGCAGTGACCATGGCCTTCTGAAATTAATCTTAAGAAAAAGCTGACAACAGTCACAGGGAAACAGAGGCACAGGTACTCACACACCGTAAATTACTCTCTCCCCCGTCTCCCTGTAACACACACACACACACACACGCACACACAAAGACTGACTCATTTATCACCCTGCTCTACAGTCAAGACAACAGAGCCTCACTTAACTTTTTCAGGGTTGCTCAAGCATCAAATGTACGAGTTTTAGCTGTTGTTGTTCTTCCATCTGTCATGCTTCAAGGAACCAACATCCTTTTTTTAATCCCAGGGAAAAGTTTAAAAAGGTATGTTTGCCTTGACTCTGCTATCTTATGTGTACCAAAGGAAATGTCAACCCAAAATATACAGCACTGTATTTCACACTGTTCTTGTTCCAACACTTAGCTGTGCAACACAGATTGCAGCGCTACCTAAGCTCATTGCAAACACTGCTCCTAAAAACCTCGGCAAATCAAGCACAGCCTCCGTTTCTTATCTCTTTATCTCTCTGTTTGTATGAGGTTTGATTCCAATCACCGTGCACGTTTCACAGCCTCAGTGTCTTGGGATGTTTAGATTGGTAGGAAATATCTCTCTGGGTGACAGACATCAGAGAAGTGGGCTCAATTGAAACATGCATGTATACACACACGGGTCCTACTGTAACAGAATGACAGGTAAAATGAAGGCAACATGCGACTCCATAACACTAGTGTCCTATTAATATGTACTGTAGCAGGAAGACTGAGACAAAACACCTGTGTCCTAGATAAATTAGAGCTTAGAGATCCCATACATGATACATAAACACCTGCAGCAAATTTCTCCTCCTCGTAGAAATAAAGTTTTCCTGTCAACGTGTTATCGTGATTGCATTATAATTAATTATACCACTTTATTATACACAGGAGATGAAAAGCAGTTCAAACACTACAGGGAGCTAACTGAGAGAACTAACGGCCGTGCACTTTTCAAAACTTGACTGCTTTCCGTGTCTCCACCCCAAATAATAAAGGAGTGGAAATTATACTTAAAATCATACTTTCTGTATAACTGTGGTAATTCTGTGATTTGCAGAAGCCAGATGAAATAAAACTGCAACATTATCCATTAAGAAACACAACACAGGTGGAGAATGAGATATATGTTATGGCAGTGCTTTCCTGCTGGTTCCTACTTTAAATACGTTACAGACAAAAATAGATCCTATTAAATGCTACTGAACAATGTTCCTGACACCACATCGTAATCAGGTGAGATGGGAAAAAGGGAGAGGGGGAGGAAGTGGGATGTTTCAGGTCATGGTCAGCTAACTTCTTTCTGCCAATCTCAGAGGGGGAACTCCAGACAGTGAGGAAGAGCCATGTTGCAGTAGATCTACACTTCTCCATTTCCTCTCACTGTAGTTCTCAAAGGACCTTGAGAATCAATACTGACATTGGAATGAGCAGTTTTCTAGCCGGCCTGCTCTGCCTTCGAGCTGTCATCAGGGAGATCCCTGCTTCGTTTTTTTTAATTACACAAATTCAAGAGCCCTTCTTTGACAGGGAGCAGATTGTTAATGTGTTTGGAGGCTATAATGCTTACACAACCCAATGTGCAAAGTCAACCTCAAAAGATATTAGACAAAAGAAAGCAGAAATCAGGTTAAATGCTGTAGAACCTAACATAAAAAATATTTTGTTTCTTAACAAAGCTCAGAACAAAGATAGTGTGCTGCTGCTTGCTTTACTGTTTTCTTGTCATGAAAGGCACCATAGCCTCAGGTATTGAAAAGACTTGATTTCCACCATTGGTCAAACCCACACAGTGAGGACCTTTCCTCTCAGAAAGGGCATTGAAGAAAGTGCAGAGACATGGCTAATTCAATTTGGGAGCAGATATGCTTGGGTTTAAGTGAAACACTCTGTTATCGAAACAGTGGAGGTGCCACGAGAGGAGATAGTGCACGGACGGTTGTGTGGAGAGGCTCGTGGGCCAGTCAGGAGATAAAATCAGGGATAGGCGATAAGTTGGTTTGAGGGGCTAGAGCCCCTATTAGAGTCCCCCAGGGGACAGGCAGCGGTGGCAGAGTGCAGCAAAAATAGCCACAGGCATGATTTCACTCTTGGGACACAGGGAGGAGTGAAGAGGGACATCTGATCAACATCTCACAGAAAAGCAGCCAGATGCATTTCCCAAGTTCCCTTGGGTGCCACCTATCACACCAAGTGACTTAAACTGCCTACCCACTGCCAGGGAGAATACACACAGCACGCACCTTTGACACTGCTGGTGGAAAATTGGTCCAAACAATGTCCTAATACGTCAGAAGACAGTGTGATTTCAAAAGTACAAACCTATGTGATGTGTGAAAATTACCACATCAAAAAGGATATCGACAATTTTTCCACAAACTTATCTTGCTGGTCATCTTTTTTGGGAAAGTTCTCAATGTCGTTCTCGAGCCTCTGAATTTGACGTTCCATGGTAGTCAAACTGCCTTTCAAGATCTCAGCCGACACTGTAGAAAAAAAAAAGCAATAAGATACACAATGAAATGATTAGTGACAATAATCATGCTCAGGCTGGGGTTATAAAAATGTTCATTAATGGCACATGATGAAAACAACACAGATCCCTGAGAACTACATTTGAATGATTTAGACCATGTATGTAGTGACACACTGACTCCTGCATTATCCATTTGTGTGTGGCCTAGAAAGACAGAACACGTGGATGCGTGTGTGTACAGTGTGTGTCTGCAGTGGCTCATTAATCAGTCTGTAATCACTGTATGCAGAGTTGCCGTGGAATCCACAGTATTCAGATTAGCCCTTTCAAGTGGAGACTTCAAACAGCGGGCAGCATCTTAAGGGATCAGATTGGACAGGAGCATAGATCCAGTCCCATGTTTAGGTTGCTGTTAAGACTTTAGCTGTATTGACACAAACCCATACACACTTACACAACACAAACATTAAAGTGGACGGTTCCAGAAAAGTAAAGAGGAAAATGAATCAAAGTCATATGCAGTCATTAAACCACAGGCCTTGATTCTAGATGAGCCTTCGTATTATGGGTTTTGAATTGCAGTCAAACAGTGTATATACTTTTAAAGGCTTTGTCACTTCTCTGCAATTTTGACACGTAATTGACTGAAAGCGTGTCTGCTTTTACTACAGAATGCAATTTATTTTCAGTTTTAATTGCTTTTAATATTATCTTCCAACTAAAGCCCTTGGCCTCTCAGGCCCAAAACTAAAAATTCAAACAAAAGATAAATTCACGGAACACAAATCGTTCAACTGAGGGCAGACTGCTGCCAAAGCCCCATCAGTAACCCCCATTATGTGCAAGCTGATATTGTATTGGGATGTTAATTAGATACTGTAAGTGTAATGAGTATTTGAGCTTCACTCCAAAAACAATTTCAAACCCAAATGACTTGCTCTGCTAAAGCTAGGTGAAAAGTCGTGGGGTTTATTCATAATCTCTTTGAGAGATTTTGATTTGAAAGCTGAATGCTGGGTCAATGCTGGTTGTACGGGTACACACATGAACAACCTTCTTGGCAGAAGATAAAAAATGCCCTGATGCATGAATGATGAAATCCATTGATAAGTGATATTCGAGTGATAGATGAGTGACCTTGTTTTGACATGTATTTTAAATTGTGTCAAAGAAACTGCGAGTGACATGAGATAATGAATGATGAATGTCCAACCTTTGACCAATCAGCACCACTGACCGCTTCATCCTGCTCTGCAGCTTGTCACTTAGATTTGCTTAAAACTCAAATCGATAACCTAAAATAGGCATTGATTGGAACAGTTCTGTCATTATTTATCACAAACCACCCCCGCATCTGCAAGGTTTGTCCATTCACCAGACAGTAATTGATTGTGCTGAAGGAGTGACCAGTGTGGTAATGGACAACATGTCAAGAGATGTGGCCTCAGTGACATAAGGGTCAACCTTGTCTTGCTTTACGTCAATTCCATAACTTGGATTTGCTCTTTTTCTCATTTTCTGAAAATAAGACTGGATGGCAAGACGGTGCATCACACAACCAGCACACTGAAACAACAATCAACCCAGACACAAAGACATCAAAAGTGAATTCCTGCTGGAACACACACACACAAGCACGCACACACACACAGCTGTGATCAGTCGAGATGCAATACATCAAGACTAAGGGGTGAGGTCACTGTCATTATTAGACCTGGTAGCTGGCTGGCTGGATGGATCCAGTGACTGGCAGATTCACAGTTCCTCCTCCACAATTCTCACAAAACTGACTCCTGGGGATGACAGTGAGAAAACCACACGATCACATAGCCTGTTTCTCCACTGATAGGACCTCAGAGATCCACATGCTCTTGTCACAATGCACTCAGCCCCACTAATGGTGAAAAAGGAAAATGAACAACATGGGAGGTGGGCAGTTGGTTGCAAGAGGAGAAACAATTAAATTCACACTAATTTATCGAGGCACAGGAAGGCCGTCGTCATTCATTGGATCGCCGCTTGTGGCATAAGCGATAGCATAGGGTAATTATTTGGCTCTGACATTGATCATAGTATCCATGGTAGCCAAGACTGGGTGACTCAAGCTAACTGTGATGGTGTTTCAGGGGAGCCATTTACAGGATCAGAGTGAAGCCATGGGGCTGCAACACAGACTATTGTTTACAAGGGAAATACTTATCCTTGAGACAAACTGGCACACATATCTGTGGCAGTGCAAGTGCATTTCTTTCTAGAGGCAAGTTTATGCTTTTTAGAAAACATATACATTAATATCTCCGCCCTTCTTTGCTCTAATAATATAGTGTGTACAGAAGCTAGCATGGATTCTTTGGGGATTTCATTAGTGAGATTACCACTAAATTAGAGCTGCTATTTTTAGGGGACAAAACATGGCAACACTGGCGTCTTCTGAATACACATTTCCAGAGGATCCGAGGAGAGAGGGAGAAGAAAGAGAGGGATACATAGAGTATATATCCATTTTCCAAGACAGATCATTTCTGAAATGTGTCGAATTATCTAAATCAATGCTGCTAGAAAGGACAGAAAGTGTTTTTTTGACACAAAATAAAATATCTGACATTTTGACTCTTTTAACTTAAACTCTTTTATTTCTTTATATTTTCTACGGCCTGCTCAGATGACTTTGCACTTGAAATAACTACAGAGGTTGAGTGATGCATAGGGGACACCAAAGCCTACAACAAAGATAAAAGTTATTTGAAAGAAAGGAGGTTAACTTGAGTGAATAACACAAACTGCATAAAAAAAACTCCTCTGTGGTCAACCTCCCACAGTTATTGATATGAGCTCTGTAAAACTGTCTATTGAAGCATCACTCATTCCCACAGAACAAAAGACAAACAAAAAGTATTTAATTAAGCTTTGCCCCGCTTCTTTCAAATAAACTGCCAGAGAAAAATACTGTGCAGCTCACAATACCAAATCAACCGCTATAATGTGAAGATGTCAATTTTATATTCAGTCATTTGTAGAAGGGGGTAATTTTCATTCTGATTTATAGACAAATAATACCAATCTTTCATCCAGTGCTCTTGCAGTGCCGCCAAAGGTTACAAAGGAAATTGAGATTTATTTTCAACGTTGCTGCCAACGTGGCATAAAAGATCAAGTTTTAAATAATCTACACACTTGTGAAAACAAAGACAAATGCTACATAAAACCAGGGAAGGTCGTTCATAAATGCATTCATCACCTTATCTGAGTAAAAGTATGTTTGTTGCTGCGTAGACAGGCAGATGAAATGCATCAACGCAGACAGTAGAAATATGCCTGTTATATACGTCAGAGACGTGGTCCAGGACGAAATGTTTTTTTCAAGCATTAATGAAAAAATTGATATTATGATAAATGAATACACATATAGACTTGGTGGTGGTCCACCTCAAAGGCTAAATGTTTACACTTATCAGGCATGGGTGAGGGGGGGGGTTCAGAAGTAAGGATCTACAATTATATCTGGAAATGAGGCTTTATTGATAATGTTTAATTCAACGTATATAAGGAGGACTTTGACTTTGTATCCAACCGTGAGCCATAAAAAAGAAAATAACAATCTGAAATTATTAATATTACAATATGTTACTTCAATCAAAACAAAACATTGACAAAAAGACCTAATCATGAAGCAGCATGGGATCTGGGGAGTTGTTGTCTTCACCACCATTGCTGATGAACATCTACCTGACTCATGTTCATGGATGACGCAATGTGTAAGAATTTAGTTCATGTTACGCAGCAAACTTCAATTAATAGTCATTATCTCTTATCAGCAGAAATGGACAAAATCCAAGCTAACGAGGATAAAATGCAATTATAAGGTTTGCAAAATGAGACGTGCCTTTATCTTAAACATTGTTGGAAACATTGCAGATAATTCAACAAATTATATAACATAGGTGGAATTATCATACATATATGTTTATATCTTTAATTAATAAATGTCCTGATCAGTAGAATAAATTAACCCACTCCAGCTTCATATCTTGTCTCAAACCTCGTCACAGCCTCTTTTCATATGAAGCACAGTGTACAGACGACAACCTTGAAGCGTCTCTACACACGACGCACATGATGTTGTACATGATGTCAGCTGAGGGACATATTCATCACATCATGGTAAAATTGAGTATTGATCAAAAGAATGATGCCAAGACAATGATTCATCTAATGTCCATTTAAGTATTTGTAACAAATATAATGAATTTAAAATATTCCCACACCCAGTTTGATATGACACATATTCATACTATATATAAAAAATCATCCTTTCTCTTTTTTTTCCCATTTGCCGTTGGTGGCACCTGAAAGTAAATAGGAGATGAAGTCAGAGGCAGACTAGTGAACAGCAGAGGAATGAAACAGGAGGATAAATACAACCCTGTGTTCCCCTTTCAGTAGGAATCAAAGCAGCTTCATTCTGCAGGAGTGAAAGTGATATTGTTGCTGTTACAAAGCAGCCAAAAGGTTCTGATTACCTCAGCACCTGTTGTTAAAAACAGCAGGAAGGAGAAAGTGGCAAATGAGGATATTTAATGGACAGTAAAAACCAAAGGGCTGGAGGAAACCTTTCTTCTGTATTCACTGAACCTCAGGGCACGGGTCTCGGTTTTCAGGCAGGAATTCTATCATCTTGTTCTAATTTTCATTGCATTGCTTTGTAAGGGAAAAGTTACTTGTTTTTTTTGATGAATTATTAAATGGACTAGATATATTGTATTATAAATGATCACACACATATGTAAGTAATAAGATAATTACCTCAGACTAGAAAATAGATGATGTCATTGGTAGACAATGCAATTAATTTCACTCAACACAGATTCACACTAAGCATAAACCATCACAATTGCAATTCCCCATCAATGTTGTGCTAATTGCATAAACATAAAAGGGTAAATCCTTTTTACTTGTGCTCTATTTCCCTTTTTTAATTCGCATTTTCCATAAGCCCTCTGTAACAGAAGT